TGAAATACTTAATTAACTCAACATAATTGAAATACTTAAATACTTCCAAGTTTGATAAATTCAAATACTTAAAAACTTCCAAGTTCGATAAATTCAAATACTTAAAAACTTCAAGTTCGATAATTGAAACAAAGTTTACGATAATTGAAATAAAGTTATAAAATAAACTACATTGCCATCTCTTCTTCATCATCTTCGCCTTCTTCGTTTGGAGGGGATATTCCAAGTTCGACTTCTTCAATGTGTAAGTTTGCTTCCAAATCGGCATCAATTGCATCTTCTAGGATGGTGATATGTTGCTTACGAGCCGCTCCATCCAAATAATCCTTTAAACAAATGCATACTTCCACCGACTCGGGACTTAGTCTTGATCTCCGTTGCGATATAACCCTGCCACTAACAGAAAAAGCGGATTCCGAAGCTACCGTAGAAGCTTGGACGTTTAGTAAATCACGGGCCATGGCGGCTAGAATCGGAAATTGTGCTTCCTTTTCTTTCCACCAAGCCAAAATATCCAAACTTTCAAACTCTTCAAATGTCATTTTTGATAGAAAATCGCATGACATGTAATTTCCCAACTCGCTACTTGGGTGGTAGTACGTGATCGTTTGGATTGGGAATTTACAAGAGTGTTAAAAAGATTCAAATTTATGTTACTTGGACGTCTACTAGATGATTCCGCATTCATTCTCATTTGATCGTGTATTACACTACTTGATCCGTATTTAGTTAAATAAATTGCAAACATGTCTCGAAAACATTTGTTAAAATAATTTATTTGGTTTTGGACAAAGTTGGGTTCATCATCGGTTAGATTAAAAGCAAACGCAATTTGTTCAATTAGTGTTTCAACTCCACCAACATTTAACGTTGGGTTTAAAGCGGCGGCACAAGTAAAAATGGGGGGAATCTCCTTAAAATATTTTAAAAGTTTTTCCTTCATTGCAAAGCCAATTTCTTGAAAAACTTCGGTTTCAAATTCAAAGTCATTTAGTCGGGTAGCCAACAAAAATATTTGATTAAGAACCAACGGGCTAGTAGGGTAATAAACACCGGATAAAAAAGTTGTTGCATTTTTAAAAACCTCAAGCAAATCGGTTATTTTGGCTATAGTTTCCCAACTCGAATCCGGATAAATGTTTGGGACATGACCCCTCTCGAAAAGCCGATCGTGAAATGTTTGCAATGTTTCCCTTTGCCTTAAGGCAGTATGCATCATCATCCAAGTTGAGTTCCAACGAGTTGGACAATCCAAATTAGGACCCAAAGCTTTTTTTATTAACAAACTTACAAAATCGTTTATAATCATTTAGTCTTTTGTTGTTGTTACAAAGAACCGATTTTATCATTGTTTTAAATTCTAATCTAATTGGCTCAATAACCTCCAAACCGGCTTGCACGGATAAATTAATTATGTGTGCAACGCAACGGGTATGAAAAAACGCACCATCTAAAATCGGTGAAAGTAATATTTTCAATCTTGGAACCGCGTTTGTATTATTCGATGCATTATCAAAGGATATAGAAAAAAACTTTATTTTCTAATTTATAAAGACAAATTACCCTTTTTAAAAGTGTAAATAAATTAGCATCGGTATGCGGCTCACCGAATAATTCAAACGCGATTGTTCTTTTCATCATTTGCCAATTATCTTGATCTAACCAATGTGACGTAACGGCTAAAAAAAGATTTTCCGGTATTATGAGGGGAACTCCAAACGTCACATGTAAGCGACACACCATAACGGTGTTCTTGGAATCCTAAAATCATTTTTTCTCTCGCCGTACGCCACATTTTTATAGCATCTCTTCTAAGGGTAGTACGACTTACTTGAGTATAACGTGGTTGCATTAGTTGTTGAATTGTTGTCGTGAAATCATCATCATCAAAGTGGTCGAACGGCAATGCTTTTGTAATCACGAACTTTGTAAACGCTTCTCGTAATTTTTCGTTGTCGTAAACAAAAACACCACCTTGCGGTGTAAGATTCGATTGACTAGGATCCGATCTTGAGCGAAGTGCCTTGCATGATTTTGTCAAATGGTTCTTCAACGTTGTGTTTCCTTCCGATGCAAGAAACTTTAGACAAAGTTTACAACGTGCCCTCCTCGAGCCATTTGACATCTCACATAAATCGTAGTGGTCTCAAATATCTTTGTTTCGAGTGTGTTCGATCACTCTCACGACTTCAAGGTTTCCCCCGACGGAAGATTCAGCCGTGTTACTCATGATGAACAAAAAATTACAAAACTAAGATTTGAGAGATGTTTAAGTGTTGTGTAATAAGATTTGAGAAAGTTGTAATCAACCAAATACATCCCCAACCTATTTATACATGTTTAGGGTGGTAAAATGGTAATTTTTTAAAGAAAAAAACGGTCAAAACGGTCACAAACGGCTATATTAACGGCTAGTTTTTTAAACTCAGACCGGTTTTTTTTTCGGATAAAAACCGGTTTTTTAACCGGTTTTTTTCAAACCGGTTTTTTATCCGGTAAAAAAACCGGTCTAGGTTTTTTTCTCCAAACCGGTTAAAATAACCGGTTTAAAAAAATCCGATCCGGTTAAAAAAAACCGATTTTTCCTAAATCCGGTTTCGGATATTTTTTTCGTAAAATTGGATATTCGGATTTTTTGTGCACCCCTAGTTGAGAGTTGTGTGATTGACTACCAACGATATGATATGCTGTAATTGCCATATTTTCTTGCGTACCGCTTGAGCATGCAAATGTAATAACTTATATGACATAAATATTTATGTTTTATTGATCACTGAGGTATACATATGTGTTATTCGTAATGTTTTGTATGTTATGAATATTTCTTGAATAATACTCACAACATTATATATATATTAATGATAGAAATAAATTACTGAATCAAATCTAATAAATAAATTATATATTTTATATGTATTAAATTATAGTTAATGAAAGATTTAAAAATAAAAAAGAGTTTAAGATTTTTATATTTTTAAATAAAGTTAATTTTCTTTTTCTTTTTCATAATTATTTTTCAATGAGTCTGTTTTGGTCACTCAATTATTCTTTTTCAAAATCATCGTTAACATTATATTTTCGTCACATACTATTAAAAATTAACGATAATGTTGATATATCAAAATAAGGTAATGTCGCCTCATTATTAAAAAATAAAAAATATCAGGTCAACAAATATATTAATTTTTAAACGAGTGACTAAAATAAAGAAAAATGTAACGTTAGTGATTATTTTGAAAAAAAGTTTAATGGCCAAAACAGAAGAAAAATGATAGTAGGGTGACTAAATAAAATTTTACCCTTTTTAATTTAATGTTATTTTCTGTGTATATCTGAAGTTTTGTCTAAAAATAAATGGCTGTGATGATTCGGGAAATTAGAAGAAAAAAAATGATGGGCCGAGATAGGCCCGAGAATGATGGTGAAGCAGTCAAACAAGGTGGCCGGGTGAGGGATAAAAGGTGAGCAATTAGGGTTTAGTTTCACTATAAATATATATGACTCCCACTTTCTTTGCAGCTTCTTGGTTAAAGAAGTGTTATTTGTTTGGGATGAAAGAATGGGGTTTAGGGAATTGCCTCTCGCAAGAATTAGTCTGAGTTTCTTGATGGCTTTGTTCTGGAGGAATAAATTAATCTACTTACAAAGAATGGGTTTCTGAGAATATTTGCAGTGTCGTTGCTTCTATTCATCCCTTTCTTTCTAGTTTTGATTATGGTTCTACTCAATTTTGTGTTGGGATTGGAATCAAACGATGCCTGTCCTGTCCTGTCCTGTCCTTGTTAAAATTTGGTCTATTTTTCTTCATCTCATCAATTGTGGTTCATACTTGGCGGATTTATAAATTAAAATATAAAGTCTTAAAATTCTAGTATTGGAACTTAAGTCGTTTTAATGATGTGGAATTTTTATATTTTGACACATTAGAGTGATAAGTTGTCAGAATAATCAAATAATTTAAATTTGATTTGTAAAATTTAAAAAGTAAATATAAGATTTAATAGTATAATTTAATAAATTAAAATTTGAAGATACGTGAGTTAAAAAATAAAGTAAAAAGATTAAAGTTGAAATTAAATATCAATAAAAGAATTTGACCTTCAGATTTTGAGAACATCAGGAGATTATGATCATTCCTGACTTCAAAGGGTTGTTATTCAAAATTTAACATTTTATTTACTTTTTAAATCAGTCCCAATTTTCTATTTTGTTTTTGACAATAAAAGTAGTTAATTTTATTAAAAATAAAAAAATAAAATTAAAAGTTTATAACTATAATTCTAAATTAGACATATAATTAAGATATTCTCTTATATAAATATTTATATAAAAAATAAACTATTTGAAATCATATAAGAAAAATATGAAAAATAAATCCAAAAAGACTCAGAATAAAAAGATAAATACAAATATATTTGAATGTTACGACAAATAAATCACAATAGGAAATCAAATTATTAAAAAGCTATCAACAAACGCAAATCAAAACCAAGCACCATAAGAAAATTATCTACATATGTAAATTACGATTTGGAGGGTCCAAAGTAAAAAAGATCAACAAGATAACATCTTAGTTAATTACGGCTATGTTAGATTCAATCTTAAAAAATTAAATGAAAAAAAGTCAAACAATCAATAAAGAAGACAAAAAAATGTAAAGAAAAAAAAAACGAAATAAACATGACATAAAAACATAATTATTAGAAATAATAAAAAAAGATACGATATAAGAATATAAAGGAAAATTAATATATATCAACGAGGTACAATCAATATTAAAACTAACACCACAACTTATCAATCGTTGACGACCAGTTTCAACACTAATACCACTACCTATCAACCAAGGATGAAAAAGGCTCAAACCAAGCTTGAATCTTTTGCAATGCAAAAGATATTTATGACATAAAAGACAAAATTATGTGAAAGAAATATAAGAAAAATTGAACATGCTTGATGATGGCTACATCAAGATCATTCCCAACTTAAAAGGATTATTAATCGTTGAAAACGGGAATTGCATTTGCAGTGCCAAATGGCTTATGCTTGATGACTGCTACATCAATAGTCATACATTGCTCTAGTTATATAAGTCTTAACCTATCCACAAATTACAGTGCTGCTTATGGGGGATGATATGTATTCTAAAATCACATTAACAAATGAAATTTAACTATTACAGGATCAGAACATTCAATGACAAAAAGGCTCCTGCTTCCAAGGCACCTGAACTTTTATAGGAAACAAATACGGAGCTACACCGGCTAAAAGGGTCAGATCGATCCATTCATCAGCGAGGACCGGCTAGAACTGGCATCTCCGATTGCAACAGTAGCAAGGGATTTAGACGCCCATGCTCTGGCATTCATTGCACCGTGCAAGTTGTTTATCTTGCAGGGTTCTTTCAGGGAAATGAACTGAAATTTTCTTTTAAGATAAGCCACAGGGTGTTCCAATATGGTTCCCACCTTCACCTTTCGATTGAGCCGTCTCCAAGTGAGGTGAGCGGATACTAGTAAAGTTGGGTACAACAGGTAAAGCAACCTTAAAAGCACAAAAGTGCTGGCTAAGGCCAAATAGGTCTCTTGCTGAAGTAAATTCTGTGGAGATCTTGCCCAAGAGAATGAGAAGGCTTCCTGTTCAGTGCTATTATGCTTCTCATGTTTTGATACATGTTGGATTCTTTCCAGCGATGTTCTATCCAGAGATTTGTTCTTAAAGCCTAGAACAATGTAACATATTCATTACAAAACTAAACAAGAGTAATAAATTAGTTGTCTTCATTTAAATTATTTTATCTCATTATCATCCTATAGGGTTATAGGATCTTATGAAGAACAGTGGGAATGCAATAATCGCGCGTAGATGTAGGATGAGATGGTACATTTTTGCCTTTTACATACAGCAGAAACAAAAGACAAAATGAAAATGGTTTCAGATTCAAAAACGTCGAACCCATAATCTTGAGCACTAACACAACCAAAATGCATGATGATAAATCAAGCACCACATAGGTAATCACAATTCACCAGTTAATACATGAGAGAATTTATGAACAGAAATAACACAACAAAGCAGATAATAGAGAATGAAAAAACTTCATATCAAAACATTCCATCAGTCGTTAACTCAACATAATATGGATGTGCATAGTCATAGAGGCTCAAAAGTTGAAGAAACAGAGGTCTTACCAGTGACATCATAATAGAAGGCACCAACAGATTCAACAGACCGATTTCCATGATAACGTATACGTATTCTAGAATTTAGAAGGAAAAGAGTAGGAAACCCATGAACTCCATACTTCGAGAGTATGCTGAAGAAATCAAATACCACCATTAATTAGTTTAACCAGATATATACTCATATCACTGCAAACACCAAACCGAAAGATATTCAATAGCAAACCTTGGCCTGACAGCTGATTCTTTTATAGCAAAATGAGGCACGGATGGATAGGAAGATGAAAGGACTGTGAAACTTGGCCTGAAAGACCTCGAAAAAGGGCACCAAGATGCATAGAAAAGAACTGCTACAAATTCACGGCTGTTCCTCTGAACCATGTCTAGTGCCTTTTGCAATGAAATCTCATCTCCCTTCACAGAGACAGAGAGAATATAATTAAAATTTGTACATACAAAAGAGCATACAATCAGAATTCAGTGCAAGTCTAACAAGGGAGATGAGTTCATAGAAAGGTATAGGCAAAAGCTTAATGAAATTTAATGGTGGCATATCTCCATTTTCATTTCGATCAAAGATTCTTGAGACCTTTTACCTTTCTAAAGCAAAGTTCACTCTGGCAAGCAGCCAAAATGAAAAACCCTAAATCCATCCCTAGTTTCCTGATTGCATATCTATCAGCTCGTAACAGTTTAAAAGCACAAACTTCAACTAAAAATCCTCTAAACTTGGTTCAAAACATACAAAATACAGGATCAACTTAGCCAATGAATAAAATTGAATGGGATAATGATCTTAAAATTAAAGAACAAAAAGACAAACGTACCTCAGTAACTCCAACGAAATCGATAGATTCATTAAAATCAGAGCTAACGGAGCAAAAGCGGTCACCAAAGTCAAAGACCGCTTCAAGAGCGGAATTCTTGGGACACAACGGAGCCCTAACGGGAAGGGAGGCGCAGCACGTTAGCCTCCACCACAAAAACAATGCTAGGATCCTCATTTCCCATACCTTCGTAGCCATCAAAGACCGACAACGGATCGCCAATTCGCGGGAAATTACCCCCCCAAAAAGGTCTCGAATTTTTTCTTTTAATTTAAAAAACCCCCAAAAATGGAATTTCAGATATATATAATTTTAACAGACAGATGAGCAATCGTGGGTGTGTCTGTGTTTCTTTTTTGACAGATAAGCAATCATAGGTTTGTGTGTGTTTCCTTTTTCCTGGGAATTTTTGTGGACAGATCCAAGTGTCAGACAGTGGAAGATTTGAAACAAAAGCAGATTTCTGGGCAAATTCAGTGCTTTTATATATGGTAGTAGTTTTTAGTTTTGTATTGAATTTATATTTTTATTTCAATTATATTATTGAATCCTTAAATTATTAATAATCGTATCAAAATGGTACTATTTTGGTCAGATGTTACATTGACAGTCCTTATCTACATGATTGTGTCATTAACGATTTAACTGTTTAGTAATATAATTGAAATTAAAATCAAAATTCAATATTATAACTAATAAAATTTAAAGTTCAATAGTATAACTATACAATTCCTCAAGATTGATGGTATCTGATATAGTTTACACTCTAATAAATTATTAGGTAGGGTATTTTTATCAAGTGTCATGAGGTAAATTGTATTAGATATCACTTTTGTTTCATATTTTCTATTTTCATCACTTAACTTTCAATCGTTATATTTTAATCATTTATATTATTAATTTGTTATATTTTTTCACTAAACTATTAATCTTCGTTAGATTGATGATATAACTAATTAGCATGGTGACGAGGATCATGACAGACGAATATGCCCCCTTTATTTCAAGAACTCATCCTTCAATTTCTACATTACCACAAATAGCTCACTCTATTCTAAGCATATTTTTTATTTTTCAACTAATTATGGCGTTAATACACTATTATCAACGAGTTTCTTTATCTCTTCCATTACTTGGTTACACTCTCCATTAGAGTGTTTAGATTTCCTACTGACGGAGCTGATTCAAGTGGTAAACAGCTAGATATCGCTTACGAGTGCATGGACTTTAGAAATCACACTTCTTTTGTGTCTTGAACAACATGATTTATGGATATATACTTCAACTTTCCTTTCGAATCCAATCTTCTATTAACTCCATTGTTTTGATAAGGTCGGTCCTATTAACCTGCTAAGCATTAAGTTAAAAAATGGAGCTTGAAGGGTCTCGAGGAATATAAGAATCGTTTTATTCTCTCACATGGGAGCTGAAACTTGTGCTGCTACACTTTACCATCCCAATGCATATTATTTAAAGTTTTCATTAGTCCCCATCTTAGTCCCCAAAGGACCAAAAGTTTTATTTATTATAAAGCTCTTTATATAAAATAGGGATTAACGTGAATTGAGAATTACCAACTAAGGGGGGTGATGAGGTGATGGGCGATGAACTTTGAGTTGCGCATTGACGAGAAAGGTTCAACCGTGGAAGAAAAAGATAAGAAAGAGATGATGGGAAGAAAATAACATGCCACATCAACTTTTTTAAACGGTAGGTTACAATAGTGACTGTATTGAAAACGAATTAAAAGTTTAGTGGCTGTGTTATAAGTTTTTAAACTTTGATAACCAAAATGGAATACCCTAAAAGTTTAGTGACTACCAGTGTAGACTTACCTTAATTTATATATATATATATATATATATATATATTCAAGCGTTTTCAAATTTAAGTTTCTTCATATTTAAATTTCTTAAGTTCAAATCTTTTCAAATTTAACCTTTTTCAAATTCAATTTTTATTTTTGATTTTTTCAGATTTGAACTCAGCCTTTTTTTTAAATGAGTTCTCATTTTCTGGATCATTTTGCCACCTCTAATGACTAATATCAAGCAGCTATATATATATATATAAACTACAAAATAAAACAAACGGGCTAGTTAGAATCTAACTGGGTTCACACCGGCAATACAACAGCCCAATTTTAATACTTGGGTCAGTCACTTCTTAATATATAGTTAGGGTTCATTGACGATCTTAAGGTTTCAAGAAGGTAGAATAAGAAATCCGGTTTGGTTTAGTTTAGTTTAGTTGCCTTATACAATTATTTTTTATGGCAAACAATTCTATTGGTCACTAAACAATTACAACTTTTCTATTTTGGTCATCGACTTTTTTTAGGTAAATTTGTAACATCCTAATCCGATTCGACCCGAAGATCGAAGGATTAAAGTTTTACACGAAACCACTGAAGTGACTAACCCAAAATTTTTCTTTTAAATCAACATCACCATTATTTGAATAATGCCATATGAAATCATGAATGAAAAACATGAGTATAATAAGTCTACAATAGTGGGGAGCTCCCAAATACATTGTCAGAAGGATAATATAATAAGTATGTTAAAATAGAGTTACGACTCGAATACAAAAAGGTATATGAATAGTAAATGTCCTCTAAAATATACTCAAGACGTACTTTGATGTCTCGACAAATCTGGAATACGATCCGACAATAAGCTCCTCGAATTCTCCAAAGAACCTACACACGAAAACAAATTCTGAATGCCGAGCTCACAAGCTTAGTACCACATAAATAACTCTACTATACTATATGCATTCATCATGGGCATACTAGCAGGTATAGACATAAACACATAAGAACATTAGCACACAAACATAAGTAGGCATCATAGTGTGGTTGGAGGTACGTATTTACTACATCTCGGGACTCACACCCCTCTAGCCTACCCATGACACCCTTGGGTACCTAGGATGAGATCTGAAATTTATGCATCGAAAAAGTACACCAGACTAGCTTACCATTAGAAAAATAAGTGTCTTGAAACTAACTGAGATATATCTGAATATTTCAAATCAAAGAAGACGCTTTTCATACTTGGTAAAGTAATTCGGGCGTCCTCGCTATTTCCCGAGCGTCATACAAGGACATAAGTTATATGGCACCATTCTTCATAATATTCTTATGCTTTTAACGTGTTTATTTAATTGTTCTCACTTGCAAGCTTATTAGAGGAGTTTCATCGATACTAGACCCTTTTTTCTAAGTCTTTAATTAATGTTAAACTCTTTGCCTAAATATGTCTGATGATACAAATACTATGCCCTTTAATATTGGTACTAACTTTAAAGTACAGATACCCACCCTTGGCATTGATATTAATTTTAAATTCGATGTTTTGAGGAAGCCTTATAGTATTGATACCCCTATATGGAGCATCAGTACTTCTCTATTAGGGTATCGATATCATCCTGAGTATCGATACCTAAATTAGATTCTATGTTCAGAGAAAATAATTTAGTATCGATGCCCTTACTTAGGGTATCGATACTTATTCTTTGTGTAGTATCGATACTTCTTTAGTACTGGTACCAAATTTAGATTCTAGAATTTGAAACTTAACGACGATATCGATACCTAACCAATAGTATCGATACTCTATGAATAGAGTATCGATACTACCCAACCAAAAAATTCTTATTTTGGCTATCTGAAGACAAGTATCAATACTATTCATCCAGTACCGGTACTCAAATATAAAAATGCTCTATTTTACACGAGTTTGTCACCCCAACTTAACCCTTAAGACCCTTCAAGTCTTTAAACATTATGTAAAGCTTACATAAGTTAAATGATGTCATAATAGGTCTTTTCTTATGCTTCATAACAACAAATCCATCCAAAATCATTTCTAAGCTAAAATGCACCTACATGCTTTATTCATTCATACAAGTAACTCATACACATCTAATGATCTACAAGTGATATAGATGAGTTAGAAATTTATTATCTTATTCCTAGATTGCTGGAAACAACCCAAGGTTCAACCATGCACTAGCTTTCCTTGCTCTTGGAGCTTTCTCCCACCTCTTTCACTAATCAAAGAATAAGAATTGAATTGCTAATTCTCTTAGGAACTCGAGAAGAAGTTAAGGAGACTTCCTAAGATCTAATTTCATCTCAAAATTAACAAATTCCACCAAAGTTGCTAAAACCTCTAACTATGGCTTCCATGGTCAAAACTTAAGAAAAGAGACTTGAATGGAAGCTTAAGAGATGGAGATTTCACTACCTACCTTTCAAATTCAGAATAGAGATGAAAAGATGACAAAACCTTCACCTTTTCCTAAGCCATAAGAGAGAATATGAAGTTTGAAAAGAGAAAGAAGACAAGATTGGTGAAGAAAATGAGATATGAGAAGGGGTTCATCCTTTTCTCCTTTCCACGCCCGGTGATATTACTCAAAATTAATGGATTTCAGCCTTAAAAACAACTAATGGGTTAATTTCTTCCATTGTACTTCCTCGTTTGCTCTAAATTCAAAAATACCCTTTTATGGTTAAATGGGCTCCATCCAAGCCCAAATCAAACCCACTAAATTCAAATCTTCTTAATGGTTACTTGAGTTTATTTAAACCCAATCGAGTTAACCCGAAACTATTAACCCAGAAATCATAGCATTACAAAAATCATCACTAATATTATTTACCAAGTAAATAATTGTTAGATAATTAACATGAATAATATTTAATTTCAACCGTGGTTGATACAAGATTTTTATTTTTTAACTAAAAAATAACATTTTTGTTTTTATCACTTTTTGTTTTTATCACCTTTTATTTTTATAATTACATTTACATAATTATTGAATTAATATTTTTTCTAATAAGCACTGATATCATAAAAGGAAAGATCCATTCATCGGTATGATATTGAGAATTAATATTTATAATCATATCTCAATTTTTTTTACCTAAATATGTGTTACATTGATTTTTTGAAAGTTATGAATTCAAATTTAAAACTAAAATGTGATCCATTGAAATTAAAATGTGAATGGTTTGATAAATGGAGTGAGCTTGGCACAACGAACCTAATAACACTAACTAATTGATTAATTTATGGCGCATGTCAACACATGGTAGGTGACTTAAAATTTAGATTGTTACATGAAGGTTGTTCGACAATGATGGTCGGAGGAGTTGACAATTTTCCGTAGGGACCAATTGATAAACAAATTAAAGTTTAGTGCTTAAAATAGAAGCATTCTAAAATTTAGTGATAAAATCGATACACAAACTAAAATTCACTGGGAATAAACAACCATGTGGCTAACAATTTAACAATCAGTCCAGTGCCCTAATTGAACAAA